CATAGGACTCCGAAAGCACCGCATCCCGTCCGATCTGCGCAGTTAACCGGAGTGCCGCCTAGTTAGTACCACGGTGGGGGACCACGCGGGAATCCTGGGTGCTGTGGTTTTTGTTTCCAGATGTTGTGTTTTTATTTTGTCTCACCTCCTCTTGTGCAAGTTGACTGGAGTGTCGAGGACCATTCCAACCCCCATTTTTTCACCTCCAAGACACTCCTGCGGGATTTGAGACAAATACCAGAGTGAGCAAGTGAACTTTCCCGCGCAAAGGGAGTGTGCCTATGTAAATGCGATATAGTGGACACTGTCACTCACTCCTCAGCCGCGACCAGTACACACAGCAGCAAACAACTGCTCCACCCACTATATGTGAGGGAAGGGTAAATGAGGACAGTCCACACCCTACCGTGACTGTGCCTCTATTTTGTGGTCTCTTTTTCTCCAAGACTCCAGAATGCATATTGGCTGCTTATCCTTGCAACCAGTGTGCATGCTGAATTTCTTGGGAGCATCACAAATGAAGCAGGGGGCCTACATCTTGGGCCCTGCTGCAGATTGGTAGGCACCTTGGCCCCCCCATGTGGGAGGGGGGTGCTTGAGGACCAGGGGGCCGCCAGTAGGCTTACCTGGGGGCCTGCTTGAGGGCAGGCACTGGGGTGGGGTGTCAGCAGAACTTGCGATGAATACAAATCCGCCTAGAATTTACTAAGTGGAAAGGTCGTCAAGCTCCCCAAGAGAATGCTGGATTTAACATTGGTCGAGCACTTCCCTTGTGTTCAAGAGGTAGGATAAGTTTCCAATTAACACATTCCCTGATATTGTGGTGGTAATCTGATAGATATCAAAGAGGTAGCTGACTACTAGAGTCTAGCTGAGAATGAAGGTAGAGAGCTAACACAGGTCGATGGAGTCTAATGACAGACTTCCAATAACCCAGTCTTATATTCCAAGACAGACTTCAGCTAACCGAAGCAGACAGCAGACAGTACTGCAGTCCTTCCCTACACTGAGGTGCTTCACACAATCGGAGTCCAGACAATTCCTATCCCACAGTAGGGACAAGGTCTGATTAATTTGACAGGAATATAGCTTTATTGGAGGATCCCAGATAGATTGATCCTCTCTTTCCTCTCTCTACTGAGCTCCTTATATACCCTACAGTAATTTGAAATTACAAACAATAGGGTGGGAAGATACTTGGGAGGAGACAATAGTGTGAGAAAAGGTAAACAATAGTGTGAGAGAGTAGTATGAGTCATCCAACTCCAGCGAATCCCTGAAGCTTTGAGAACATGGGTGACTAGGCCAAAACAATAGGCATGGGAAAGTGGTAAACAATAAGGCGAGATAAACATGGAAGAAAACAAAAGTGCATGTGAAATCAAGAACAACGGGTGGGAAAATCTTTAACAATACCATGGGAAAAGCATAAACAATAAGGTGAGAACGATCCTTGGCCAATCATGGAACACTTTCAGTCCTTCTAGAGCATTCTACACAGTTCCTCTCCCAATACTTGCCCTCATCCTTTCTCCCATTAACAGAAGGTGTTTGGTGCGCTTGAAGGATATGTCGTATAGGTCTTCGTTTCCTACCCCCAACCAGTTGTTGAAGTCCGCATCTACCAGACCTTCCAAGACCAATCTGTATGTACAGGTCTCTTCGGCTTGATGCTGGTAGTAGTGGTACACTTCCAGCCTGGAGGGGGACGACATTCAGCATGTGGCAACAGCGCAGTTTGGCATTTGAATGATAACATTGTCTGACAAATTCGCCCCAAACTTTGAAGGCGACATCCCCAGTGCCCGCGATGCAAAACTGCAAAATGAATGGAGGCGCTCACAGGGATCTCAAGTGATATAGGAACTTGAGCCCGTATTCTTTGTCTTTGAGGAGCAGCTTCCAGGGAGCTGGCAAGTCTAAGCAAGCAACCGCAACCTTCGTGTGAAACCTATACACGTTCCATCCATCTCCGGTTATATAGATGAATCTCCATCCTTCCATGATTACGGACTGCGTGTCGAGAGGGTTGATGTCGACAATTCGATCGAACCAACATAAAGTGGAGAGACCAAGAATATTGACAAAACGACGTCGCGGGATGTTTACTGGCTTCTGCGGGACGCAATATTTCATGAGTGCTTGGTGGCGCACTCGTCCAGTATGTGCACTGTGTGATTTCATTTCGGGTGGATGTCAATGCAGCAGGAACTAGGCCATAAGTGATTGTGGCTGTGAGCGGATTTGGGTAAGGAATCACGCACGCGGGGATGAATTCTGAGGGTGGATACGGCAACGAAGGAGGCTGTCGGCTAGCTGGCGCATTGGAGGCAGCAACAGTAGTCATGATTTCCAGGATGTTCTTTGAGAGGGGAGGGGACTTTGGTGACATTTAGAGATTTATAATGAAGGGGAACCCAAGATGAATGAGCCGCTTAGGCATGTTTAATTTGTGATGACATAATGATTTGCATGGGCCCTTTTGAGTCTAGTCCGATCATTCCTCCATTCCTGATCCTTCCATCTCAGATTGATCAGATTCATCTGAGGGGATTTCTTTGTCTGCTCTCCGCAATGCCTCTACAGCCTGCTGCCTGCTTATGTATGGCAGCAGTCTGTATCCATGAATTCCGCGACGACTCAGTGTACCATCCAATACACTCAATATATATGATCCGTGCTTGGTTTGGCCTGTAATTTTGTATGGTCCCCTGTATCTGGGAGTGTGCTTCCGATCATAGGAGTGCTCTCTTTCAATGTCCCGGACCAGAACTAGGTCTCCAGGTTCCCAAGTAGACTTTTTCAGGAACCTACGCTTGAACCGCTTCTCAAATTGAAGCTTCGCGCTCCATTGATTCTTGGCTAAGGTTTCTGCTGCAGCTCTGATGTCCTCAGGGTGCTTCTCTAACTGCCTGATCCGCAAGGCTAAGAGATCTTCGGATGCCATTCTGGACTTGAATCCTTCTACCAGAAAATTTGCTTCCACTAAGTTGAATGGGAGGATGGGGTCTACACCGTGTAGTAGCCAGAATGGGCTAAACCCACTTGCTCGTTGCATAGTAACTTTGTCGGCGAAAAAGGCATGGTGAACTTTACTAGGCCATTGGGATATACCTCCTTCGCAGGCTTTGACTATCCCTTCTCTGATGATGAAATGTCCTCGTTCTACTACTCCGTTTGCTTTGGAGTTGTAAGGGGATATTTTTACTTGGGCGATTCCATATCGCTTCAGTAATTTGGCAAATGATTTCTTGAGCTCCAACCCATTGTCGGTTACAACTTCAGCTATATGCCCATATCGGCATATTATTTCTTCTGAGAAAAATTTTGCGAGAGAGTCTGCATTGCTTTTTCGCAGGGCTCTTCCCTCGGCTGCTTGGGTTAAGTCATCCCGAGCGGCAACAATATAGCAATATCCTTTTGCTTTCGGCATAAGCATGACATCCACATATAGTTTGGTGAATATTGTGGCGGGTGTAGAAATGGTCAAGGGTATCTCGACTTTTTGAGTACTCCTGATTTGGCATTCATGACAGGAACTGACATGAGCTTTGACATCCTTGAACATGTATGGCCAGAAAAATTGGTGCTTAATGGTGTGGTAAACACCATGTACTCCACAATGACCTAGCTCCTCATGAGCTTCTGTCAGGATTTGACTTCGCTTCTTTGGGTCCAGGATTACCAGAATTGGTGGCCTAGGATGGACTCGTTTGAACATTAAGCCACACTGGATAAAGTAGTGGCCAGCTCTTTGCAGAAATCGCCGCTGTTCATTTGTGGATAATAGTTGTGGCATTTCTAGGGTTTCCAGAAATTGCTTAATTTGGTGCAGAATCTTGTCTTGTTTGTTTTCCCTCAAGATTAGTACCCCGGGGGCTTTTTGCTCCTTGCTAACTCCCAGGTACCAGGCTAATCTCTCAACCAATCATCCTGCTCTTCTTCTTCTTCTGCTTCAGCTACTTCTTCTGCTGCAGGCTCTCAACGTGATAGTCCATCTGGTCCCTTATGCTTGGGAGCGGGAACGTGTCGTAATTCAAATGTGAACATCAAAATTCCTTGGATCCATCGGTTGACTGCTGCATTTGGTTGGAGATCGGGGTTATTGAGCAAATCCTTGATATACTTCGCATCGACCTCTAATACCATATTTTTTTATTCCAATCAGGTACAATCGCCAATGGTGCAAGGCTCGATAACATCCGAACAGCTCTAACTTGGGTTGGCTGTATCTGGCTTCCCGTTCATTGAAGGGGAGAGACCCATATCGAGCAGGTCTCCTTTTTCCATTTTCATCATCCTGGGACAGGATGAATCCGACAGCAATTTTGCTGGAATCGACTGACATGTAAACTGGTCGATCTGAGTCATAGCCAATTGGGTGTAAGGCGGGTGCTTCGGTTATCAGCTTCTTCAACTTCTCGAAGGCTTCTTGTCTCCGCTCGTCCCATATAAATTCTATATCTGTTCAAACAAGCTCTGTCAAGGGTCGCGCAATAGCCGAGTACGCCTGAATCCATATGCGAACTGTTCCGCACAGCCCTAAAAATCCTCGCTCATCCTTGACTGTCCTTGGCTGTGGCCAGTTCTCCACCTTGGCTACCTTGCCATCTTCTGGCAGCCTTCCTTCTGGCATAAATCTCTGTCCAATAATGATAACTTTGGGTTTGCATAATTGCATTTTGTTATAGGAGAAAATAGCTCCTGCATGCCCTACTCTGTGCATAATTCTATGCACGTCCTGAGTGTGTTCCCAAATGAATCGCCGGATCCCAGGGTTCCCTTCTAGCAGCTCTGGATTCCCATCAGAGTCCAGGTATTGAGTCCGCGGACCCTTGATCGGCAAATAATCGATAAATATATTGGCAATTTGGGGAATCTCGTCTTGCAAAATAAATGTCATACAGTTCTGGAATTCCGCTGGTGAATTTGTAAATCCTGTCGGCAGTGAGGTAATTCTGAGCAGGCCTAATGGGGTTGAGAAGGATGTCATGTCCCGGCTCTTCGCATCCATTTTCCTGGCATCGAATCCCCAAAATAGGTCAAACACTGAATAGCATGCCCTTCCGGCGAAGGGTTCGACAAAATCGTCCAGAATGGGAGGAGTTCCGCAGTCCTGAATTGTAACTTTATTCAGGGGCTGTAAATCATGAACAATCTGTAGCTTCCCATTTTTCTTAACTACACAAAACCATCTGGAACGATATGAGGATTGGCTGGGTTTATAGACACCTGCAGCCATTTTGTCCTTGAGGACATGTATAACGTCATTCCTGATCCCCGGCGGAATTGGAATATCCGGAAAAGACCATGGCACGTGGGGAATATATGGAATAATATATGGAGAGAAGTAGTCTTCTCTAAATGTGCTGCGATCGGTGGCTTGGAAGGCGATGGCACGTTCATTTAGCTGGAGAATATGTGTAAACAATTTCTCTTCTTCGGGCCATAGAAACCCGTCTGAATTGAGTCCTATCTTGGCTAGTCGCTCCGCCGTGAACTTCGCCGTTGGCGTGAAGTGTGGCGGGGTGACTGGTAACGGTGGTAAGGATAATAATGGATCTTCCGGAAACTGTCGAATGACTCGCGCATCCTCAGGGAATATCCCTGGAATGGGCTTAACTTTCCGGTCTACTCCCTTGTACATAGCCATTGTTGTAGAGTCCCGGGTTCCGGAAGTTGCATTGAGGCTATGTCCGACTCGTCGTACCATAGTTATTGTACTTTTAATGGGAGTTTCTTCCTCTCCCTCAGACAGTTGGACCAGCAATGAGTGACTGTGATTAAACGAGTGTGGTACTGTACGCAATACAGAATGGGAGTGCATAGGTGACAATAATGAGCCGCAAGTACTAAGAGGTGATGGTGAAAGGGGAAGCCCTGACGGAAGGGTCCCAGGGTGTGCTAAAGCTGGCTGCCCAGCAGCGCAACACTCTGCACCGAGAGAAGGGGGGTGGGGAAATAAAATGATTCGCATAGGGGGGAACATTTGAGACAGGGACACCTGATGCTGTAGTAATATTACATTAAACCTGAACAACACTCCTGTGCTCCTTTACAATGTTTCGGGACATTTGTCTAGGCCTATTGTAATGGGATTTCAGGTGGCAGGCTGCCTGCCATGAGCCGGGCTGAGCTTGAATGGCCTGACCCGGCATCCCGGCAGGCAGGCGGGGATCTGGGCTAGATCTGGTGCCACGGGAATAGCCTGGAGGGGCTAATAATAGGCTGGTTGATCATCCAGGCACCTGGGTGGCTCCACAAAATGCGCAAAAATCGGAGAAAATCAGAATATATTGGTGGGACCCGGAATCCCCATATTAGTGCTATAAATAGCTGATGAGTATATGTAGACCATGGCAGCATGCAGCTTGGCAGCTCATAGAAAATCAAAAGAAAATGCAGAAAAATACTGAAAAAACCACAGCTGCTGCTAATCCCATCACTATATTACATAACGGACTTCCCAATATGGCAATATGTGGTGTGGTACACTTCTGGAACCCAATTTTTATGCTCTTTCTTGCTCTGTGGTCAATTTATCCTTATTATTCTTTGTTCTAGCTCATATATTACCTGACCCAGTGTGGAGGGCAGATATGTGGCAGTGATCCATAGAGCCTACTGGCTATCCATTGTTATAAAAATAATTTTTTCTTCGCCGGCTCCGAAATAGTATTTTCGGCGTTCCCACGCTTATACTATATGCTACATCCTGATTTCATGGGATCATACTCACCCCATATATATCTACAGGTTTACATAAGACACCGAGAGATTCCAAGCAGTGCATCATTAGATACCGCTTTTGGGTGGTACCCCTCCTGCGGACCCCACAGGGGAGTGGAAAGTGGTTCAAGTAGTTGTGAATAGCTCTCCCTAGAGTAAATAATCATACCCCATTACGTGGACCACATTCCCGGCCACACAACTGTTGAACCAGGCGCTGACTTAGCTGCCAGGTTCTACAACCCTCTGGAATATTCTGGTATATTCCATTATTGTACAAGGCACGGAGCTCATGTGGGTCAGTGACATCATAGGTGGAGCGCAGTAGGATTATAGATGTTCCGCGTAGCTTAGTCAGCCTATGGGCCACAGTGTATATAAACCCTGCAGCTCTGCTGCCTAATGACAAGGGGTCGTTTATACGAGCTTTACCAGTAGCTACAGCATCCAACCAATACAGGTGAGTTGTGTAGGGCGCACTGTGCGTGCTGCTGCCTCCATAACTCTTCATCAGGTTATGAGCCCAAATAGGCAGCTTGCGTCTGCGCGGTAACTCGCTGCAGCGCGTTGCGCCTCGCTCACCTGTGCATCGCCCTATGCGCCCTCACAGGCTGCAGTGTGGCTTGATGCGTGATCATCGCCGTAGGCGCTGTTATCAGCAGCCATCAGGCTTGATGATCGATCCTGGGGTAACTCCCTAATGGAGCCAACAGCATGGAGCAGTGCGCCCTTATCGGGCTGCATAGCTTCGCTGATACTGATGAGATCTCAATACAGATTTCAGATCTCTCAATCGCTCCTCAACAATGT